CATCGTAACTTTTATCTTGTTTGAGCAATGTGTTGTCGTTCGTTCTACTTCGAAAAATCTCGTTGTTCAATTTTTTTTTTTTGAAAAACGTATCGAACTCGTTTTATACCATAAAATTGAACTAATTTTTTTTATCTATGACTAATTCCAGTTTTATTTTAATTACTAATCTATAATTATAAATATGTGAAACATTAGATTAAATAAAAATAAAAGTGGAATTATAGTTTTAAATTATTAATAAAAAATAAGAGTATAATATTTATTATAAAAAATAAATAGGAAACATGTGGGACCTATAAAAAAGGAGGTTTATGAGGTTTATTGTTATTGGAGGTTTATATGTGTAGGAGTGAGAATAAAGTTTTGAATGATGTGGATATTGGGAATAGAGAAAGGAAAATGCTACATGTACATAATAAGTGTACATAGAAGTGTACATAACTCTCACATGGTGTGGGGTCCACTTGATTTTTTATTTTTTGTGGGTCCCACACAATGTGAGTATTATGTACACCCTTATGTACACCATTATGTACTTGTAGCATTACTCATAGAGAAAGGAGGTTTGTGTAGTTGTGTTATAACACCTTCTCCAACCGGTACCAAAAATTCAAAAAATGGAGTGATTTGCCTCCAACCGATACCCAAACGGAAGACACAAAATGAGTTTTCCTAACTTATCTCTCTCCTCTTTTACACCATATTTGCATTTTACTGTTCCAAAACGCAATTTTTTTTTAATTACAATTTAGTCCTTTTTGTTTTGTAAGGTGTTATATATAAACTAATTTATTTATATTGTTTATTTGTATGCCTTGATTTTACCGTGTTTTACTTTTGTCTTCATTATGTGTTTAAAAATTTTAAAACTCAAGAAAATAACAATAAAAGATGTAGTATTACTTAAATTCTAAAACATTTATTGTGCATATTTGACAACAAGTTTAATCCAATAACTGTAAAAATATTTTTGAACATATATACAAACCCAAGTGCTTATTTTATATTTGTTTATCCCCCTTATATATAATTTCAGAATGCGCTGAGCCTACGTGGCTGCTTCTGGTGCTTCGTAATCCTACTTGGCGAAGAATCATGCTTCGTAATTAGGTTTGGACAAATAATATTAATATATTAATAATTAATAATTTAGGTTCGGACATTCTATAAATATTATTTAGCTAACTTAGGTATTTTAATATCACTTGTACTAATATAACCTTTTAATTCTTTATAATTTTACACTAAATGACTAATATATCCCTGACTTTTGATTTGTTTCCATCAATTAGCTATTGAATTAAAAATGTATTTTAAAAGTTGATAACTTTTGTATTTCTTATTGGTTTTACATATATAATATATCAAATTAATCATCTTTTCATGATCTTCGATTTGACATCTATATTGTATATATAAAATAAATAAATTATTATAATATAACACAAGTAAGTCATACAAATAAAAAGTGTCATACTAAATATATACTAATATATATATTTTTATAAAGTTATTTAAATTTTCACCTAGTTTTTCTCATTAATTTTTAAATTTTAAGGAAAAAATTATTAACAAGCACCCGTGTAATACACGGGTGTTGTACTAGTGTTATGTTAAGCTAAAAGCCTAAAAATGGGACGAGGAACTAATTATTAATAATTAATATCAGCCCTCCACTCCACCTGAATAGCTCACCCCATCCTCAGAACCATTTCCCATTTTCCCCCAAAAGTATATTGCCCATATTTATTCTGACAGAAAAAAAAA